GTTTATCTGGAAGAAAGAAGCCGGCTAATTTGTCCTCTCGTGACATCTCTGTGTCTCTCACTCTGTCTCTGTCTCTGTCTCTCTCTCTCTGCACACACAAACAGACAGTATACAGCCTTTATTAAAGACCATGGATCTCCAAAACCAGACCTGGGAATGAATAAAAAATCCTGTTTGTTTCCAAATCACACAATTGAGCTTTAATACGTTTTTCAGGTCAAAAAAGTCATGGAGGTGACTGAGAAAAGAAATAAGATGCAGTCACAAGACAGCTGTGGATCACATTTCCTCATAATTCACATTTCCTCAGTTCATTATTCGATAATTAGAGTAGATTTGCATGTCAGGTGCAAGTGGAGCAACAAGCGTATGGGGCTGGGAAGCAGCAACATGTTGTCACACTGGATTAGGTAACTAACAGACTCCCTCCCTTTAAGGGCCAGTTCATCCAAATTGCAAAACAAATTCATGTCACGCAGAGCAGTTTTTCTTCCTGTCGAGGTTTTCAGATATTCATCTTTGATATATCTGTCTATACGCATTTAAAATGGAGTTGAATTCAATTTCAATTGTGCTGCACACAGCAGTGGAAAGGGAATTTCCCTCACATCCCGGTGTTTTACTCTACTTAATCCACAGGACAGGCTGAGAACAGTTTTTCATACTCGGTAAAACTTCTCTGTTAAGAAATAGTGCCAAAGAAAACTGTGCCCAGTGTGTTTTGTGGATTACCCAGAGTAGACTTGCACCGATTAGACTTCTTAAGTCCTGATACAAATACCTGGGCTTTGAGTATCGGCCGATAGCGAGTACCGATACGATACCAGTGTTTAATTAACAAGCTGTGTCTCACTGTGTGGAAGAGACTGGGGTCATTCTTTTATGTGTAAGGCAACATCAGGCTTTGTAGCTTCAGTCCATTCTTTCGATTCATTTCAATCCATAATTATAGCCAACACCAATGCTGCCAAGATGGGCATTTTTGCATTACAAAGGTGCATAGAGGGTAGCATTTTCACATCAATAAATCATTATCACAATATTATAATTATATGATTACTGTCAAACAGCCCACTGCAGATAAGCTCTACCTGTTTGCACAGATTTAGCGGGACATCTGCTGGAGAGCTCAGACAGACAGAGGGCGCTGTTCTTCCAGTGCAAACACAGCTTAAAGCTGATAGAGTTTCTGGTGACGGCAGATGGTGGAAGAAGCAAAAAGGTGCGACAGAAACAACACTTCCAACATGTTTGTTCTGCTCGGTAAAGCAGAGCAGGAAACCTTTGACCGATGAAGCAACAAGAGGCAGGGAGGATTACGGGAAACATGGCTGTAATTTGGAGAAACGCTACCACTGCCAAATACCACTGTGTGACTCAGAGGCTGCCAATCGTCTCCTTGATTTTCAGTTTATCTGGAAGAAAGAAGCCGGCTAATTTGTCCTCTCGTGACATCCTCGCTGCGCTCCCTCTGCCTTTCCCTTGCCTGCTCATTTCTCCCGTTTATCCGGAACAAAAAAGAAACAGTCGGCCTGACCCTCATGCAAAGCTCTCTCTATCTCCGTTTCTCTGTTCGACCTCATCCCTTCATCCTCTCCTCCGCCCCGCCTTTCATTGCTGGATTCTGTCGTTATCCCCGGCTAGATTCGACCCACGCTATCTCCCGCTCTCTGTTGTGTCGCTCCCCGCATAGCAGATATGTTGCAGCTCAACGGATGACACACACGCACAGCACACTCGCACAGATAAACTCTGCATCAACACACGCTCAAACCACAATAACAGCAAACACACACACACAGTTCCTGGATGCATGCATAGGCACACATTTACATGATCGGGACTTGAAGGAATGATGGGAAAGAAGGGCATAAACACACTCTCAGCATGTTTCGGCACTCGGGCACAAAAGCAGCGTGCTCTCAGACTTGCAAACACACACACATATGCAGGCATAGGTTTAGGACGCACAGAGAGACAGCAGGCAATGTGGCAAGGACACAATACACACACACACACTGCATGATCCCACTCACACACACACACACACTCACTCAAGCTACTTTCTCACACAAACAAAAACACATAAATCCTCATACGTGAGCCATATGCGCACAAATTCCAGCTTGTGTACAAACATACACACTTGCAAATCCCCATTCACACTGATTACTGCAGGATCACACACACACACACACACACACACACGCACACACACACACACACACTTAAGCACAGACAGAAACACACACAAACACTTGTTTACAAGCACAAGCCACATACTTGCACTATTACACAAAATACTTGCAGCTGCACACTCTCACACACACACACACACACACACACACACACACGGTCCTACACACATAGCACACCAATGTGCTTTCTTACCACACGCGCAGATCCAGCATGAGTACAAGCCAGAGTACAACAACAGACACGTCCAACACACGTTTTCTGACCCCGCAATACACACACACACACACACACACACACATAGACACGCACACACACACTCACCTTCTACCTCCTGGTCTCCTCTGTACCAGCGCAGCGTGGCGGGGGGTTTGCTGCCTGTACTGGTGCAAGTCAGGGTGACTTTGCCCCCGTCCGGCACGGCATTCTCAAAGCCCGAGATCTGAGGTTTACCGGGCACACCTAGAAAATGAGGGAGGGCAAGAGTTGGAGAGTTAGCAAAGGAGAGAGAGAGAAAACTTTCATGCTGCAGAGTTCACCTTGTAGCCAGAGGAAAGCATAACAGAAAGGGCAAATGTTGCTGTGGAAAAAAATACAAAGTTATATCAACAGCAAAAATTGTATACAGCATCCTCAATACTGCAGACGAGCTTGAATTTATCAGGTCAATTGTGAAACGCTGATGAAAACCAGCTCGAGGCATAATAATGATGCAGGCTTGCAAAGGTTTGCCCCAAAAATGGTCATTTAACAGCAACTCTAATGACTGTTGAGCTTTATGTTCACCCAAATCATCACTCAAGTTACAAATAAACATGGGAAAGCAGCTTTAAGTTTGTATGCACCATATCTAAACTCTCAGAGACCTACAGGTCAGCTGCAACTCTCACTTCTTCTTTTTTTTTTTTTTTAAATCAAGGCTGAAGACTTTTCCGTTTGCGGCTGCCTTTTATTAAATCAAATCTATCATTTATTTCTCACACTGCACTACAACTTGTATTCTTGTACCTGTCTTATTATTTTGTTGCTTGTTTTAATTTTGTATTCTCTTGGCTCTTTAGTGACTGCTTTTAATCGTTTTAAAATGTACTTTAATTATGTGTTTCCTTTGCACTTTGTCTCGATGCTTTTGATGTGTCATGTAAATCGCTTTGGATTGCCTTGTTGCCGAAATGTTACATATAAATAAACATCAGTGTCCATTAGGACCGATGCATTAGAATATTATTATGTTTTGCTGACAACCACTTAAGGCGGTGCAAATAATTACCATTGTCTCTCAGAAGGAGAGGCGGAATTAGCTTAATAATGTTTCTACAGCATCACACGTCCTCTCAGGGAGGAGGTCCGTTTGTGAATTCAACACTAGGGGGGCGCTGTTTGAACCCTGTTTTCTACCAAAAATCAGCATGACCCCAATCTATTCCCTTACTGTAGTTTGTGTGCTTGAACTTGACCACACCTTGCGGAGTGCTGGCACTTCAGAAACCAGTCATCATTTCTCCATTGGTCATTTGTTACAGATTTCGAAGGCACTGGAAAAAGATGTCACCTTCTGCTGGATTGCTGTGTCAAAGAAACTAGATCTAATATGGATCGGTTATTTCTTGTCAACACTTGATCTGCTGACTGTAATAAGGGCCAGCCACATGTTCACTCCCAAGGCGTCAAATATCAACGCCTGGGCACAAGGCACTCTTTAGGGGGCTTTAGCCAAACATGTAAACCTATCCGCATCTTTATTAGGGGCTCAGAGCATCTGACGTTGTATTAAGAGCGGAAATATCTACTAAGGACAGCTGGGAGGGGTCTAACAAACACAGGAATCATACTCAGGGAACATTTTATTCTGTATATTTGTTATCATTTTTACAGACGACGTTATGTTATGTGAGGCTGCATCACTGAGTCAGAAGACGTTACCTCCGTAGCTTATTAAGTTGTGTAACAAGCATAGTTAATTTGTGCCAAACCATGCTGTTTTCTTCTCACATAACCAAGACGCTTTGTCGCCTATAACCTTACGCTTCTACTAATACTACTACGTAGGTAGCGTGGCATAGAATTGCTAATGCTAGTAAATGATGTACTAACTCTGCAAAGGTTTTTGCGTAGAAACGTAACATTTTAGAAACATATATCTCCTTCCAGCCTCTCCGGGGAGCAGGTATTGCTAATTGCTATTCGTAATACATATATTTTACAGGGGAATACTGTCTTAACATACAGTAGAGGGTTACTGTGTCTGAACTTTCTTTATTAATGAACCACAAAAAGCTCAGATTCTACAAGTGCATATCATGTCTCGAGATAAAGCACATTTTTGGTAAGACATTGAAAACTTAAATGTAAACAGAAGCTAAATGTAGAAAATGATAACCTAACATTTCACTGCTTGTGGAACTCGTATCAAGTATTTCAACATTTGCCAACTGAGATGAAAATGGAAATGCAATTAATTCGATGAGAAAAATAATAATGTTGTAAAACCAAGAACATGAGTTCTGCATTAACTCTGACAGCCTTGGCATTTCTACAATTCAAGTCAGTCTCGTAACGCTGTGGCATTGTGTGACTGTTCATTCCTCAGTACTTTAGGTCAGTCCAAAATGTCAAGCAAATTACTTATTGCAAAGATTATTAAATACGACTCCCAGAATTCATTAGTTAAAAGCAAAGAGAGAGTTAGAATGACTCAGTCGGACTAAATGGGTTTTGGGGGGGGGGGAGCGCTTGTGTGAGCGTTTGCAAGAAAAAGAGAAAAGGACAGAGGGATGGAGTGAGACAAAGGTCAGATTCAAACTGGCTTCAGCCAAGTGAGCCACCAGGAAAGCACTGAGCCAAACCAAACTATCACGATATATCTTCCTCTCCCAGAGGTGTTCTTCCAGATTCCAGCAGTCGGTTAAAATAAGACACATTTTTGCCTGATTGCTATTTTCACTTGGAGCGGGAGTTGCAGATAAAAGCGGGAGAAGGAATCTACAACTCCGGTCTGCCAAATATTTCAGAATCCACTCTCCATCATCATGGTCGAAGGCAACAGTGGAGAGAATGAAACCTTTCTTGCCGTACTCCATCTGGAGCCGTTGTGGGCACTTTTCTCCAAGTGTTGGCGGAGTTTACTGTCATTCCGCTTTTGAAAATAATGAACATTCGGTTTGCCGGCTACCGCAGAGCGCCATTAAGGGAGGAGAGAGAGACCGAGTGATGGACAGAGGGAGAAAGAGAGAGAGCTGAAAGAGTAGAGCGTTAGACAGAAATGTAGAGGTAGAGAAGGGAGAGCGAGTCATGAAGGAATGCCAGGAGGGAAACTCATATATTTTCAGTACAATTGACAAGATGTTGGACCAATTATTGAAACGTGTGACATTTTGTCAGGCCAGAAAAACGAAATTCCAAGTTTTCAGGGAGTGAAAACGTGGATAGATAGATAGACAGATGGACGGATGGATGGACGGATGGAAGGATGATGGATAGATAGATAGACAGATGGATAGATTGATGGATAGATGGAGATAGATAGATAGATGGATAGATGGAGTTAGATAGATAGATGGATGGATAGATGGATAGATAGATAGATAGATGGATAGATGGAGTTAGATAGATGGATGGATGGATAGATGGATAGATGGAGTTAGATAGATAGATGGATGGATAGATGGATAGATAGATAGATAGATAGATAGATGGATAGATAGATAGATAGATGGATAGATGGATAGATGGAGTTAGATAGATGGATGGATGGATGGATAGATGGAGTTAGATAGATGGA